GCAATATGATCTCTTTTTCAAGAATATGGAAGGATGTACATACAAATGCTAACATCTGCAATTTACAATGGCAGAAATTTCTGTGCAATAATACTTTCCTGTTTTTAATGATGAACTGAGAGACTCATGAGAAACTCTGGTTCTGCCCTTATCATTTCTGCCTTTCTAATCCTGTATTTGATCAGGATGCAATGGGACACAATATAATGGGCTTACAGCTTAGACTGATACTACCAATTTGTTTGATATCACCCAACACCTGCACAGAGGTGTCTTTATATATATTTTCAAAGATATCAATGTCTTTTTTTTCTGTGTACCCCAAGCTGTCAATAGAGCAAAGTGTACCACTGAAGTGAAAACCTCAGAAACATGGGAACTAGACTTCACTAGACCTATATAAACTCTTTGTGTTTTCCTAGGACTTCAGAGAACTTTTGTGACTGCTGATTGGTAATAAATTAGGCTGGACATTTGTAGAAACAGACCCAGCACATTCCTGTTATTTAAACCCCTTATTATTAACCCAAATATGAATAAGACCCTAGCTGTTTGCCACTGAAAACAACTAAGTGCCCCAGTTTCTTGGCCTCAAGCAAGATGCCTCAATATTGTCATATACTGCTTTCTTGAGGTCCCCATTAAAAAGGATGGGAAAATGAGCTGTTTTTAACTTCATCCCATTCCATCACTAGATCTGTGTGGGGAGTTGAGATGAGAAACCTGGTCCCCTGAGCTCTCCCTCTCTCCTAGGTAACCATATGATGTAATTGTGTTTTCTTTTCACAGTTCTATGTTGAACTAAACATCAGCGACACACACACACACACACACAAATTCATATAGCTCAAAGAACTCCAGCTAAAGAAAAATTTACAGGCAGAAATTTCTTTCAATAACACAAGATAAGGTGAAGTTCCAGTAGAGCTTTTTCCAAGACTCTGGAAGAAAATGGTTCTGTAAAAGATCAAAATTCTGAGTATGATTGCTTAAAACCTCTTCTTTTGCCCTTTAATTGAGAACACAGCAGACAAATGAAGCAATTCCTGAAGGCACAGACACCCCCCTCCACCATTCACCATTGCTACTAAGAAACAGAACTGTTTCACTGCAGAGACATACTTATACATAAGAATACATATGTTTTTATGCTTACATCATCTTTGCAGACAGAATTTGCAAATATTTCTCAGTAAGATCTCTATATATGATTTTGTTCTGGCCTTTCTGCCCAAAATTATTGGCGTTATTCTGCAATGCAATCTTTATTTAACTTTGTCTTCTTAGTTCCTTATCTCCCACAAAGTTACTCTCTAATGATAATCATTAGGCCTAATATTTTGTTTCTTTTGTACAATGATGAAATGAAAGTATAAAAGTTCTTTACACAATACTTAGCACATAGTAAGAAGTCAATAAATGTTACTAACTGCATTATTATTTTTAAATAAAACTGAGATGGCAGCTTGGTATCGTGATTAAGGGAGAGGATTCTAGAGCAAATGTGCCTTAATCCCAGTTCTTCCCTCAACTAATTGTGACTTTGGAACATTTTCATAATTTCTCTGTGCACAATTTCTCCATCTGTAAAATGGAGATGGTAATTACTTTTCCTTTACAAGGATGAATGAGTTATACAACCCACAGACTTAGATGCATACTCGCCATAGAGTAAGCATTACAATGCATAAGCCGTTGTTATTCCTTTCCAAACTGAAGGTCCAGAGAATCACTAATGTTTTCTCTATATTCTGTACTTTTCTTTATTTTACTTGGATGCTTGATCAAGTTCTACATATATTCTGTACATAACAGAAACCAAGTTTTTATTTAATCAATTTCCAGAATATGGGCCTCCCTGGTGGCTCAAGGGTTAAGCACCACACTGGGAAGTAAGCCACAGCCTCTGCTGCACAAGTTCGATCCCTGGCCAGCCAGAGAGCAACCCCACATGGCGCAGCAGACCTCACCTGTCTCGCCCACTGCTCTCCTCAGCAGTGTATTTCAGTCAGTCTGCCTGTTCTGTTCCCCACTCTGTCTCTGGTGAGTCCTCTCACCCACCGCATCTCTCGTCTGTACCCCAGCTCTAGTAGGCATAAATAAATAAATCTTTAAAAAAAATTTCCAGGGGCCTCCCCGGTGGCACAGCGGTTGAATGCTGGGCTGTGAAGCTGCCCGCAGCCTCTGCAGCACCGGTTCGATCCCCGACCAGCCGGCAAGGGTCCCGCATGGCACGCAGACCTCTCCTGCCGCACCCGCTGCTCCCCTCAGCAGTGTATTTCGTCAGTCTGCCTGTTCTACTCCCCACTCTCTCTCTGGTGAATTCTCTCACCCTCCCGCGCTTCAGACTGTACCCAGTGCTTGTATAAATAAATCTTTAAAAAAAAAAAAAGAAAAAAATTCTAGAATATTAGTCAAAACTTTTACAATCTATGCTAGTGACAATTGTAGAGAGTCCAGGTTAATTCCCCCTACCACCAAGCAATTCCCTGACCACCAGCTAGGTGTTCTACAATATAAATGAATTCTGACACTGTCTACCCTTCCTTTGTGCATAGGAAGTCAGCAACAATTAAACTGTAATGAAGACAAGAATACAACACTTATAAGAAATTAAGATTTACTCTTCAAACTCAGAAAATTCTCTTTTATCCCCCTGAGCAGTGGGTTCTAGATAAATGTTTAACTGTCATCAGTGATACAATTAGACTTGATGCTCAAACAAAGCAACAAACCAAATATGCCCTATATGATGAATGCCACACATGGAAATTAAAGCTTCATAAGAGTATGAGAGAACTGGGAGACACAGAAGAAATGGGTATTGGTGGACACTCCCAGGTTCCTCCTTTGCTTTGACCCTGCTTTTACATTAGGCAATGATGTCTGCAAAAAGCTGCAGAATTTAGGAACAGTGGGTGACATTATTTTTCCTATTGTGACATAGTCTGCTTGCTCTTTTTTGAAGCTGGTGTGGGCATAACTGAGTTCATTTTAAATAAAATTTTTAAAAATAGGAAGCACATTGATTTTAGCCCACAAATTTTTTAAAGGGATAGTTTGTATATTATTGTGAAGAGAAAGATTGAAAAATATGAACACATACTCAATGTAGTGATAGCCAAATTTCAACTCTATCTTACTTTTGTAAGCTGATCTATTAAAAAAAATAGTAGGTAGGCATGGAAGGGTCAATAGTATCTTCTCTAATTTCAAAACTGCAAAATACTACACTCATAGTTTGTTTACAAATTAAACACTGATCAGAACACAGAACAATTTACCAATGCCTCCACTGAAATCATGATTTAAAAAAGAAATTAATTCCCTACTTGTTTTTAAAGGAAGTTGGTAAGATACATAAATCAAACTAGTACATCCCAATTAGGAGCACAGCCTTTGGAGCAGTGTGTGATCCTGGTTCTACCCCTATTGTGTGGCCTTGAGAAATCACATGGCCTTGGGCAACTACATCTCCAGACTTGTCTCTTCTGTATGAAACTTCATGTTAGTCTCATAGGATTTTTGTAAGAATTTAATGCAATAATTCATTAAGTATAAAATAAAGTGTCTGGGGGGCCTCCCTGGTAGCACAAGGGGTTGAGCACCGCACTGTTGGGTGGTCCGCAGCCTCTGAAGCATGGGTTTGATCCCCCGCTGGCCACAGAGCAACCACATGGCAAGGTGGACCTCTCCTGTCTCGCCTGCTGCTCCCCTCAGCAGTGTATGTCAGTCAGTCTGCCTGTTCTGTTCCCTACTCTGTCTCTGGTGAATCCTCTCACCCCCTGCAACTCTGGCCTGTATCCCAGCTCTTGTATGCAAAAATGAATAAATCTTAAAAAAAATAAAGCATCTGGGATGCAGTAAGTGATCAATAAGTGATGGATTTTAATATTGTATTAATACTAAGTATGTCCTTAATAATCCACTCTTTTGAAAAAAAAATTTCTGCCAAGTTCCTTAGCATAACTTTACCATCCAACAAACAAAATGCTTCAAAAAAGGAAAACAGAACCCAAGAATAGGAAGAGCCAATCCATATTCTTTCCTGTAGATTAGGAATCTTTCACATTTTATTTAATTTGAATGGGACTCTTCTTGGTCAAATTCCAGCATTCTCCCAACACTCATTTCTAAATACTGTGTGTATTTGGTAATCTGAGCACCAGGACAGAAGGTATGAGGGAAAGCATCCACCCCAAGACAGCTTCAACTAGCCATTGATATTTCCATTTCTAGCCCAGACTTGTCCCTGCATGGGAAGTCCTCCAACTTCAGCTTTCTTTCTCAGGATCTAAAAGATGGTGATAATGGAGATGATGAGGACAGCAAAGAAGTTGAAAGTACTACTGATGATGAAAGTAGCATTTTATTCCACATTTATGCTGAGCCAGGCATGGCACTTTGTACATATTATTTCACTTAATCCTCTCAACAATCATAAGTGGTAGTAAGTACTATTATTATAATCATTTAATAGATAAAGAAATCAAAGTTCAGAGAGGTTAAATAACATGCTCAGTGTCACAGTTAGTTTGTAGCAGAGGGTCAATCAAATAGCAAATCTGATTCCAACCAAGTCCTTTATTCTTAATCCCAGGCTACACCAACTCTACCCGAGCTTTCAAGACTGCCTCTAGGATTTGTGTAGGTACTTGATGCTCTTCCCAGATTAACTCTACCCAACCACATAGTTCTCTCCCATTTAGAGTTCCTGATCCAAAATTTGTAGAGATGGAGAAGAAATTGCTATGGCAAGTGTTACATCTGTCAGTAACTTCAGTTTTATCCTCTACTGCTTCCAAATGAATTGACCATCATAGCAAGCAACAGTCATGAAACCTAATGCAGAAAAAAATCCTCATAGCAAGATCGCTGATAAACTTTATAACTTTTGATTAGTACCTTTGGGCCTCCAACATTAATATGTAGTACATATTAATAATTAAACTCATTTTAGAGATGAAGAAAGAGTAAGGCAAGCAAAATGGTTTACTTACAGCCACACAGGAGCTGGGAATAAAATCACCAATAGAGCTCCATACACCCTCTGGAAAGTCCTTATCACCTCCTTATGCTGGGCTTCTAATGCCTTGTCATTCAAACCACTTAATATACTATCAGCACAAAAAAGTACTGTGGGATCAGCCTTTCACAGGCTCAGTTAAGAAGAGGAACAAATCCTAGTACAATAAGAGCAGGAGAATAACAAGTTGACCCTTCAGGACCAGTTTCATATTGCCTTTTAACCAGACAGTCTAGATTTCTCAGGACAAGACAAAAATGCACCCAAATACTTGTCAGCAGTTTTGAGCGGAGGAAAACTGCAGTTAAAGCACCTCTGGTGAGAACTTGTGAGCAGCAAATGTGCTTACATTAAGTTTGTTCAATTTTGACCTTGACTTGGATGGTGAGTTGGATCCTCAGAGTCCTCCTTAATTCTTTGCTAGAGAACTATAAATGTAAAAACGTCAGCCACAGCCCATTCCTTTTTGTTTATTTAAATGGAGAATATTAAAAAAAAAATCACTTTTTCCACTTCATGGCTCCTTTGGACCAGGGAATAAAAATAGCGATGTCATAAGGAGCCAATTTTTTTTTTTTCTGGAAAAATAGAACGAAGGGAAAGAGCTTTTCTCAGGACACCCAGTAGGCTTGAAGCAGCCTCTCGCGCCAGCCACCTCACATCTTGCCCCTTTTCAGAGCAGCCTGCAAGGAAGGCAGGGGCGCAGTTTCTTTAAAAGAAGCTCCACGGCCTGCTCCGCACAGCCAACCCCGCGCCCCCTACTGTCCCAGGACCCGCCACCTGTCGGAACCCCGAGGGCGGCGCTGAGCAGAGCTGACAGCAGAGGCTGCTCAGGGAAGGGTCAGGTGTGGCCAAGGACAGCCCCGAGGGCTGAGGTTTCCGGGTAGGAGCTGGCTAAGGTACCCCACTGCTGCAGCCTCGGGGACCCCGAGCTCCTCAGGTCTGAGGCGCGCCCCTCCGCGGACCCCCAGAGACTCAGCTCGCGGAGGCCCCCTGAGCTGCCAGCCCGCCGCGCCTCTCCCGGCGGGGCTGAGTCGGTGCGGCCGCCTGCGCTCCGGGCCGGGGCGCGCGTCTTACCTGTTGATCTTGAGCGCGAAAGCGCGGCGCTCAGCGCTCGGCAGAGTGGCCATGACTCAAGGCGCGCGTCCGCCTCTAGGGTCGCGGGGTGCGCACGGCGGGGGCCCGGCGCGCGCCGGAGCCGCTGCAGCGCTTGGCAAGCGGGACTCCAGCCTCATCTGTCAGTCCGGGCTGGAAACTTCCGCATCTCCACCTTCTACGCTGCAACACCCCGCGGGGAGGGCCCAAGCTCCGCGCTGCGGCGGCCAGCTCAGCCACCGGCGCCCGGCCTGGCACGCAGGGAGCGGCGGGCAGGAGGGTGGGCACGCCCGCGGAACTGCCCTCCGGATGCACAGACCGAAAGCGCGCTCTGCCCCGGGCCCTGACCTCCGGCAGAAAGGAGCGCGGGCGGATGACCGGGCGACCACAGAGAGAGGCCGGAAACTCCATCTGCCAGAAGCTGCTAAGCTGCCAGCGCATGTGGGCAGGAGAGGGGGAACCCGCGCTTTCTGCCAACCCCACAGTTGGCAAGGTCAGAAGACCAACCCTACAATTCTTTACGCTAGGCCTTATTAAGGGTTCACACCATGCCTAGGAGCAGGCAGATTTTAAAAGTAAAAACAAAACAAAACAAAAATCTGGAAACTCCAGGATGTAAGTCAACTTTTAAAAATGATAAAAATGATGCTCGTCATCCTTTCTAGGGATTAAGTAGATGTAATGAATCCATCGAAAGAATAAACATTATGACTTATCCCCCAGCAATGTTTTACAACCTTGGGATAAATGCTTTTCTCTAGGGAAACACTACACTCAGCTTTCCTGTCATTCAAGAATGTTCGGCAGCCCAGTTTATTTCAGCTTCAGACTGAGAATGTTCTTAAAACCCCAGCCCCAAATTCAAGAAGGAAATCAGAAAAGTGCCAGTGCTCCCGCAGAGGAGAAGCCCATGTTTATTGGAAGTTATTGGCTTCCTCTAAATTTTACTACACTAGAACATTATCTATATGATGCCTGTGTTTGTCAGGTGTTTTTGGTTCACAAGTGCACTGCTGTCCAATATATTAGCCACTATCCACATGTGGCTACTGAACATTCACAATAATGATTAGTCTCAATTGAGATGTACTGAATGTCTAAAGCACACACTGGATTTTGAAGACTATAGAAAAAATAATGCAAAATATCTGGTTAATGATTTTTTGTATTAATAACACGTTGAAAGAATTTGGGTGTATTGAGTAAATAAAAATATACCATTAAAGTTGATTTCATCTGTTTTGTCTCCCTCCTTAAAATGTGAGTCGCAATAAAGAAAAGTTTAAATTACATAAGTATCTCACATATGGATTTATATTCAATTTGGGCAGTGCTGATCCAATAGACTCAAGTTGCAGTGAGAACCTAATATTGCTGGTCCAATAGAATTTAATACTAAAATGCCTGACAACATTTCCTATCTCTGATTTCAGATACCTTAGTAAATCTTTGGACTAGCAAAGAAGGTTAGCAACCTTCCTCCCACCATCCAATATCAACGTCTTTAAGCATATTAGACAAAGATGATAAAAAGAAATTCAAAGAAGAGAAAGTTTTTTGTGATATGAAGTTTTTTGACTCTCAAAATTCTCTTAGGTATATTTATTACACTGGAAGATCTAAACAAGTTTTTAGAAAGAAAAATATTAATCACAATTCTGTGAGTATGTCAAACTGAGTGAAACAAATGGAAGATACATAGAAAACACATTATACCTGTCTTTCAGAGGGGCTTCTTTCTGATTTTCTGAATGTTTGTGATCCGTACTTTCATAAGGCAGGGGAAAAAGGCAGCAAAAATGTCAACACAAGCACAAATTTTAATGACAGCATCTCATATTCTCAGAATTTACAATCAAGGAAAATTTTCTTTGGTGGGAGAGGGGGGATCATAATCTCCCTGTTGTGCCCAAGGTCAGCAGACTCGGCGAGCATAGCCTCCAAGAACCCAAAGACAGCCGATGCAAACACAAAAGGGAATTTATTTCAGACTCGAGTCCGGGTTCACGGCAACTACCAACGCAGTGGCAGATACCGAGAGCCCCAAACAAAGGAAGCAGGGGTCTTTTAATAAGGTTAAATTATGCTGGCAGTTACTCATTGGCTACAAGGATGCTTCTCCAACTTTGCCTGGCTATCATTCTAAGCTGACTGGCCAGGCCAAGATGCAGCTCCAACCTGCAGCTCCAATTACAGCAAGTTCGCCCTCATTGGTGACCAGAGAGTAAGGGTGGAGTGAGGGTCCAAACTATCTCTGGAATGCAGTCTTTTCCCAGCAAAACCTAAATTTCTAAAATGGCAGTTACACAAAGCAATGGCTAAGAACACTTATGCTTGGTTCCACACCCCATGTTATAACAGCTCACTCTACATTCAAGTAGTATTTGGTACCTACCAGTGAAGGTTAGGTCAGTTTTATTAGCGGCCATGCTGTGAATTCCCTTACGGTTAGAAATGACTCCAAATTTCCATTACAGCCTTGTAACAATCCCATGAACGTGTTACCCACAAATGTAGTCAAATGTCTATTTCTAAACTTTGTCTGCTCTTATATACATTCACAAATTGCTGGTAAACTTCAAAAAGAGCAAAGTGCCTTTCTTCCACAGCCTCAATGCCTCTCCCTTCCCCCACTGGAACTTCTTTCCTCATCGCCCTCTGTCCAAAGAGTACTCTGAAAGGGCCCCTTTGCATGTCTTAACCTCGCTTGGCCTTCCTCTTTCTCTGTGTCTTTGGGTCATTCAATTTATTAAAATTTCACCATCATAAAAAACCCTTCTTGGGCCTCCCCGGTGGCACAGTGGTTGACCGCGGGGTTGCGAAGCTGCCAGCAGCCTTTGCAGCCCCAGTTCGATCCCCAATCCCCGGCTGCTCCCCGGCCACCCGAGGAGGGTCCCACATGGTGCGCAGACCTCTCCTGCCGCCCGCTGCTCCCCTCAGCAGTGTACTTCGGTCCTTCTGCCTGCTCTGCTCCCCGCTCTGGCTCTGGTGAATTCTCTCACTCTCCCTCGCTTCTGACTGTACCCAGTGCTTGTATAAATAAATAAATAAATCTAAAAATAAATAAATATGTAAAAAAAAAAAACCTTCTTGACTTCTACGACAGCTCTTTTAGCAATTATCCCAAATTCTCTAGTTTTCCCCACATCTTAGCTCCCCAGAAAGCACATCTGTATCTTTACATTGCATCTCACTTAATTTATTTAACAAAGAATTAAATAACACATTATGTATTAGACCCTGTTCCAAACTTTTTACAAATATTAATTAATTACAACCATCAAAATAATCACATTATCCTTACTTGTGCAACTGGGGAAACATAGGCTCAGAGAAGGTAAACAACTCACAGAAGATCATAAACTAGGAAGGGACAGAACCATATTCAGTCTAAAGTTTTGCCTATCTCTCAGATATTCTCACTTAAATATCTTCAAACTACACAAATATAAACTAAAATGCTCCATCTCCAATACCTAATTGTCAGTTCTCTCCTCTTTCATAGTCACACATTTCTGTTGGTTGCACTATTTCCCTGTGTGTCAGGTTTAAAACTTTGGAGTCATCTAGTGGTCAAAAAGCAGGACATCTACATTCTGCTTCGGCTTTTCACTATTGTGAAATTCTTCACATGGTACACCCTGTTCGCATCACAGAGATTTGGTTCTTGAAGACACCATCCACCTGCCTCTCCTGAAATTTATGAATGTGTCAGCTCTAACTTTTTCTTCTCCACCCTTCAGATCTAATTATCTACCAAAACCTTTCATTTATTCTTTATAGACATCACCCTTGTATTAATATCACTGTTCTCACTGCTTCCATTCTTGTCCTAGCCCTTACAAATTAATATCTGGATAACAAACTTAAGATTTTGAAGACTTTCTGCCTGTAGAGTCTCCTTATTCCAATCGAGTCTGACTGTATCACTGTATTATTTTTATTAAAATGCTATTTCAGCATGTTACTTTTCTGCTCAATTAACTTTGGTAGCATTCCATAACCTCTATGACCAAGAGTG